CTTCTTGCATGGTGATCTGCTCGAGGAGATCAATATGGAGCAACCACCGGGGTTTGTTGCTCAGGGGGAGGATGGTAAGGTGTGCCGGCTACTGAAGGGCCATTTATGGGCTTAAACAGTCTCCCCGAGCATGGTTTGGCAGATTTAGTGAGGTAGTAAGGAGGTTTGGTATGAAACAGTGCCAAGTTTACCATTCCGTCTTCAGTCATGACTCTCAGGTAGGGAAGATCCTATTAGTGGTGTATGTAGATGATATTGTCATTACCGGGAATGATAAAATGGGCATTGACAGGTTTAAGATCTTTCTGCAGGATCATTTTCAAACAAAGGACCTTGATAAATTGAAGTATTTCTTGGGGATAGAAGTAGGAAGGTCCAAGCATGGTATTAACTTGTGTCAGAGGAAATATGCTCTTGATTTGCTTGAAGAAACAGGTTTGTTAGGTGCTAAACCAGTTGAAACTCCTATGGAAACAAACACTAAGCTGAGCAGTGATATGGGTGTAGTGTTGGAAGACCCTGGCAGATACCAACGGCTGGTAGGTCAACTGAACTACCTAACCATCACTCGGCCAGACATTTCATTCGCAGTTAGTGTGGTAAGTCAGTTCATGCAGAAACCTCTGGTTCCACATTAGGATGTGGTTATAAGGATTGTGAGGTATTTAAAAGAGGCTCCTGGTCGCAGTTTGATATACAGAAGTGGTGGAAAACTTGAAATAGAAGGATATACTAATGTTGATTGGGCCGGTTATGTATCTGATAGGAGATCTACCACAGGCTATTGCACTTTTCTTGGGGGTAATCTGGTGACATGGAAAAGCAAGAAGCAGTGCAAAGGCAGAATATAGAGCTATGGCATATACTACTTGTGAATTAGTGTGGCTAAGGAACCTTCTACAGGAGATGGGATACATTGTTGATACTCCAATGAAGCTCTACTGTGACAATCAGGCTGCAGTTCACATTTCCTCTAATCCGGTGTTTCATGAGAGGACCAAACACATAGAGGTTGACTATCACTTTGTTATGGAGAAGGTGCTAAGTAGAGTGATAGACACTACATATGTCAACACAGGGAACCAGTGGGCAGATTTGTTTACTAAAGGGTTGAGTCGGGGGAGAATGAACTACATATGTAACAAGCTGGGATTATATGATATATTCTAGCTTGGGGGGGAGTGTTAGTGTCGAGTATGTAGGGGTAGTTTTGTCTTTGTGCTTGTGTTTAGGTGCTGATGTGTAAGTTTATGTTAGATTTGATGTCCCTAACTTAAGTAGGGGCATATGTGACTTTTCCACATTATTTTAGTAATATAAAATACATCTGGCCGAATGAGAGAGTGAGTTTTTTTCTCTCATTTGAACCAGAATCTTTTCTCCTTGTTTCTCTTCTGCTCTTCTCCTTTCTCTCTTTCTCTCCTCTCTTCTCTCTCTCTTCCTTGACTGTTATCAGTCTAACAGGCAGACCGAACACTAACAACTTGCTTACATAATAAAACACCAACAGGGTATAAGCTTTCAAAAACTAAGTATCTAAGAGTGCTATTTCAATGATCACGATTCCACATAATTATGAGGATCAAGGAACCTTTGGGGAAAGTGGGGATTAATAACAGCAAGTACCAACTAAGGATGTACACAAACTCTGTTTGGTTTCAAGTAAAATTAAGCAAAACAAATTATTTCCAAAAAACACTATTTTATGGTATTTACTTACATGCAAAGTGACGGGCAAATGAATGTTTTCCAATAGTAGTTCTAGGACAATGGCATTCCGTCTATTGTTGTGTAATCATCACCTAAGCTTGATCCCAACTACATGGGGT